CCCGGTTTGAATACCGGGTCATGGCCAACAGCGCTGGTCAATTTCAGCACACTGACCTTTTGTAACAAAGCCTCCTCCTAATGTCCTATATCATCTGCCTGTAATAGAGTCTTAGATGCGGCGGAGCGTCCTTCATACACTTAAGTGTGCTTCCAGTGCAACTTACACAGTGACGCGTGCTCACGTACTTACACTGGGCTGTACTTACCTGCTTTCTAGCGCAACTCAGGTTCTCATTCACATTGCAGCGCCAAATTCTGGGGGAGCGCCAATTGCTGCTTAGCCATAAAGCCCCTTTGAAGCATTTTACCCTGGAAAGCCTTTTAGATTCTCATACAGAGCCCCCCTTCACAATTAACATCTTTGGCCCCTCCCACCGCCAGTTCATGGGGCATCCCAGCTGAAAATAAGGCTGCAGAAAGTTGGAGCAAATGTGGGATGTGGCGGCAGATGACATGCGTGTTTTGAGTGTAGGGAAACTGCATTCCTATAGAGCACTTACATGAATGCCTTTCTCCCAACGTAGCACGCTACTGGTAAGTGGTGTTTTGAGGTTGCAGATTAAGTCTCATGCATATATGATGTGCAGGCCTTTGCCTGTTGCTCCGCAATGGGGTACTGTTGAACAAACACGTTGCGCCCAAAACTAAAGATGAAACCAACATATCAATTCCTAGATGTGATAGAGCTTTAAAGCCTTGAGCGTAATATGCACAGCCCGCTAGTTAGAAACAATCTGATTGAAAAGTTGAGGCGAACGCCTGAGCTTCATAGTGCACCCTCAGAAGGGTTTACTGTCCTGGAAGCACCTCGCGTCCTGGTATTTTATTCGTTCAAACAACCAGTCGCGCTAAGCGGGGATTTGTCCTTAACCTTCAAATCAAAAGAATGAATTGCTGAGCTTTTGTGCGACAGCGAATTGCAGCTTTGTTAGGCGCGCAAGGTGAGCCGCCATGAGGCTGTCTTGCAGTGTGTTCTGGCACAGCTGTTCAAAGTTCTCGAGCTCTGGTTCCGCCGTCCCACTGAGTGCAGAGCTAAGAAAACGGCCAACTTCAGGATCGGGACACGTCTCACCATTCAGCACACTGCGGACGTACGACGAACAAATAGAGAGCTTCTCCTGCAGCTGTTCCAGCTCAGCATTCAGGCCGTCCCGCATATCTGAAAGGGGCACCCCCTCAGCCGCTGGTTCGGTCAATGCCTCTGGGGGTACAGGCTGACTGCGATGGCTCCCCGTGCGCACCTTCTGTAGCAGCCGTAAACCAATACGGTCAGAGGGAGTTGCATACAACTCTAATGGAAGTTCATGGAACTGGAAGCATGCCTCCCTTGCCATTGTCATCTGCACCTGTGTGTAAACCTGAAAATCAGTATACGCGCAAAGGCAAAATAAAGCTAGTTGCCTCGCCTCTCTGTATGAATGAATCAAACAGTGCCACTAGCTTGAGGAACCCGTTAGTTCCTTTCTAATATTTGGCTTCTCGTACGAGCATCATCGAATCGTACAGCTACAAAGCTCAGTTAACGCTTACTTTCACAGCAAAACTTCCGCTTTCCATAACGGCGTCGACCATTAGATGTATTGGCTCGGTCAAAGGCGGTTGAGGGAAGAACTTGGATACGGAGGAAAATTGCTTGAACCAGCCATGGACAGCGCATGTCAACTCTGTCATTTCGCTGCCCGTGCAAAACCAACCAACAACCACCTCCCTCACGCCACCATTGCCTCCATTTGCCTGCTGCTTGAGCTCGAACATGCTCTCATGGTGGTCCTTGATAATTTGCAGCAATCCCTGGAAATACACATACCGGCCCCTTTAGATGGGGATGTTAATGCGTAAAGAAACGTAGTTTGCAATGGTGACATAGTCTACATATATGCAAATGCGTTAAATAAAAAAGCACTGACCTCGCCTGTCAAAGAATGCCTGTCCACAAAGCAGTCTGTAACATCGATTAGGTTTCCATCTGAGCACGAGCCGAGAAGCGTGCCAATGACATTCTCCTGGCCCTCATCCCGACGAATGTACGCATCCAGAATAGTCATCAACGGAACAGGGTGCAGTCGGACCCGGAGGGAAGGAAATGGAAGCAGGTCAAAGTTTTTAGGGACACATGCTGGCTGGGCAGTCCCATTCCCCATAAGAGAGACTTGGCGCGACATTGTGCCGAGCAACTAGCGCTACACCTCCTCTACCAGATCGAAAGGAGCAATTTCCAATGACAAAAGCTTCAATAGTTCTAGTGGGGCACTTTAATTGGGCAAGAGAACGTACAAAAGGGCCCTGCATGCGACGATCCATAGAACCCCACAGCGGCACCACCGCTTTACTGTATTCACCCTAACTGTGCGTAATAGGCCCCATAAATCATGTCTATTTCAGCCGGAAACTGCCCCTCACGTGGGAATGTATGAGCGTGTATGGCAATGACTACTTCACGGGGCTTTACAGACAGGCGGCTGACCAGAGCCATTCTCAGCTGAGGAGATGCATGCGCCCCGCACAGTGGAGGCTTAATTTTCAAGTGCTAACGGATCAAAAAATTAGCACTATATCTATGCACAGGAGGATTTTCTATCATATGCATAAACGGGGAAACTTTTGAAGCTCATTTTTTGTGCATAGGCCTGCTCGGCGCCTCTCCCTGTAGCCCGAACCATGCAGATTCACTGTAGTGCTCTATCAAGGGTCTCATTAAGGAGACACTCTCCTTTAGACTCAATACAAGCTCGATATCGAGTCACTGAGTGCTTGAAAGGAGCTTTTTCTTCCTCCTGCCAGCGACCCTCAGAGTATTCGACAAGTGGTAGAAGTCCAGCTAAAGAGCGCGCTGCCGCCCCGTGTAGTAATATAAATATTCACAGCTAGTCGGACGCAGCATCTAGCTGGCGCGTACACAATATTGTGTCTTCTTGTATTGAGGTAGCAGTACTCTCCAATAAATAATACACTAGGCGAGGAAACAAGTCTGGACACTGTCAACGAGTTCTTAGCTAGGTATGAATTGTGTGGTAGCTAGTGCGAGCTATTTTCTTCACACAGGCAAAAATGCTACAACACTACGAAGGAAAAAAGCAAAGTATCTATTCACTGCTAATGAGATATCAATGAATCAAGAGACACATACCAGCCGACAAAGAGCGATGGCACAAGCCAACACGACTTCGGCGGCGCGATGGCGTGCGGTCGCACAAACACTGAAATATGTGAACCTCCTGCTAAGAGGAAAAAAGACAAATAAAACGTGAAAACGTAAGCAAAACACACACTTCTGCAGCAGTGATCTCACGCGCCCTAGAGCAACGCCTGCATGCGAATACAGGTGGAATATGCAGCATAGTCGATGCGGCAGATGCGACTTTGGAGCCTAAAAAGAGATATAAGCAGGAATGTGAAGACAGCATATCTGGAAGTGGCTGCGCATAAATCTATAGAAGACACCTCGACGATAATAAGTGGAGCCGTTTCAAGCAATTCCTAAATATGAATTTAGCACTGAAGAGATAGTATGTACTCAGGAAGAACAAGTATCAAGAGACGAGAGAAACATCGTCAATGGTGAGTGGATTTGTTAGCCAAAGAGAACTGCGAGCTCTCCCTCCCACAATTAAGAAATCCCGTTACTGCGCCTCAGGCAGCCACTGAGGCGGGCGTTCCCCACCTCATTTAACTAGAAACCTTTCTCTCGTATGCCTTCTGTGCTGGATGGCCCTAATGCTTACTTTTTATGGCTCACTGTGCAGCCTCAGGATCCACATCGCACACTAGCTGCGTAGCAAAGTCTCCGCATAATTCTAAGATTTGAAACTTAGTTAGGCAGCCAATATTCATAGTTTTGTAGCGCCTGCACCTTTAGCAAAATTGATTGAGTAGGTTAAAGAATTCAATTGAGTAGGAAAAAGCAGATTCGTGAGAGCATGACAAATGCCCGGAAGAATTTGGTGACAAGCGTCGCCATCTGGACGCCAGTTGCACATCCTGCAGCCTGTCGAACGACCAGGACCAAAACTCCAAGCTCAAACAAACTCCCCATAGCCGCCTATCGTAATAACATGCCGGTCGTTTTTGAAATTTGCTCATGCATTCACGTGCACTGGCCAGATTCTCTCTAAACCCCTACGCCGCTTAGCGTGGCTGCTGGCTTCGAACCGCCAGGCTCATGCTTGGATCGGAAAGAGGCTCCGGATGTGCTGTGCACTGCTTCCTTATTAACAGACTTAGCACAAGGAAGAAACCCAAGTCAAAAAATTGATTATTTTTTGTTTTGGATTAAATGCC